ATAAAAATATAGTCACATAGGGAAGAAAGTATAGTTATTGAAAAAGCATAAACAAACCTAAGACTCTAACCATATAAACTTTAAACTTTTACTCTAACTCTCCTTGCTTTCTCCTGCTTGTATCTTCCTAACTGCATCTGCAGTATTTTCCATGATTAGAAGTTTTTTAAGAGCAACTGAAATACTGAAAAATAACCTTCATTTTCATAATTTTGGTACTACGGTATTTTGCTCTTTTTTTACTTCACTCTTCATAATAATTTGAATGCAAATGGAAATACTCATTGTGCTTTTTTACAATTTTCATATTGGCAATCACTGCACAAGTCAAATGTGTTACAGACTTTTCCTCTGAAAACATTAATCTTGAAATTGTCATGTCACAGATAACAAAACACACTGCATCTGCTTAATTTTGAAATGTCAAATGACATACCATAAATACGCCTGCAAAATGAATAAAAAACCAGTGGGACATGGATTTAGCTGTTGGTTTGTAAGACAAGGTCAGGAATGTGTTATGCTTTGGAATATACTGGAAATAGCATTTGGCCTAAAAATCCGTTATAATTCAATTTTCATAATCTGTGCAGAAAGTATAAATATAACTGGATTTGTCATGTACACACAATACATACAATGGAAGGTTAAAAGCAAACAAATCAATACATACATGAAAATACTCCTCTCTTTTATCATTTGTATTTGTTGAAAATCATTCAAAGCATAAAATAGTGACCCTCAGCACCAAAGGAAACAAACCTGGAGGCATTCATGTGGATGTTGAGTATTACTGGACAGCCCATAATGCAATGTTTGAGATTGTGCCATATTCAGTCCTTACGGGGGCCGATGAAAAGGAAATTCAGTGGAGGCTGCCCAAGAGGAAATTTAACCCAGCTCTGTAGTTCTACTAAACTGATTTTTTAGCGATAGGAAAAACATTAACTTTATACCTGTCGTTGCACACATATTTTAGGTGAAGAATGTACTTACTATGAAAAGAATGAGTGTCACCGAGTTTTCCTATGACATGAAATGCTGGCTAGGAGCTAAACTTGCAGTAGAATACTGTAATCTTTTCTTCAATTCAGGTTTTTTTACTAAACTCTTCATATGCACAAGACCCGAGCTGCATTAAAATACATGCGTCTACTTAAAACTCAGGTCCACAGCCATCCTAAATTTGGTGTACTAGGGATACTTTCTACATCATTCCTTAAATTCCTGTAAAGACCTCTCCCACTTACAGCAGCAGCTTCTGCTTAAAACTCCAACAAGGTCTCTTTCTTTGCATGTTGGATTTAAAAATATAGATGCTTTACTTGGCAGAATGAAAATAAATAGAAAAACCAAACAAATAAACAACAGTGAATGGATTAGTTTTCTGAAAACATTGTATATTCCTTTGCTCCTCTCTCTTCTTCTTCCCAAGTTTACTACAGAATTAAAGTTCTGGCAACCATACTGCTGAAATGCACTTATAATGCAAATTTCTTGAACTCCTCAACCACTGAGGTTCAAGGATAAGTATTTGCTGGAAATACAAAACACAGTAAATAGTTTGTTTTTTAAAACTAGAACACATCTGTTAAAAGCATACACTGAAGACTTCCCATGTTGATCGTTCCTTTATTTGCAGAGGCACTAGCAGTGTATAAGGAAATTATCTCAATTAATCTGCAGCCCGAATATATTTACAGGAGCTCAGAGGTCAGACACAAATACTGAAAAAGGATAGACTCAAGCAAACCCTTATTAAAATCTGGTTTTACACTAAGTTCTAGAACAAATACAGCGTGAAAAATGCAATGGCGGTTTCTGACAAGTCATACAGACACTGTAATAGGATGTAAACTCCTTTTCCTGATTCACCATCTCGAAGAGATACCTCTCAAATACACGCAGAGGAGGAAGGCTGGAGAATTCCCACCAATTCACTCCTCTTACCTTCCTGCAGAGACCACCTGTTTTGTCACAATATCACTCTCACTCTGTTTTCTGCAACAATTACATAGTTTAATACCCATGAGGGTTTCATGTCTGTCATGCCATAGTACAGCGATTTCTGTTGCTATTTTGAAGTAGAACGCTGTCTGGTGCTATTGTTCAATGTTTCAGTACACATTTCATAGCATGAAGATGATTGTAAACAAAACCACAAGTACAGGCCTGTGCTAATCAAAGTAAGAGTGAGAATTATTTGTTTTGCAAATTTGTTTCATTCTGTAACAGGTAACAGATCCAGAAGGTAACTGTAAAGGCTGACAGCAGCTGTATTCTCCTCTTGTCCTTAGTATCAAGATGCCCATCAAGTCCTGGCCAATCAAGTCTTCATTACTCACTTTGCTATTTCCCAAATAGATTTTTGTGTAACAATTCCATGCAGTTTAATTTCAGACTAGTGGGAGTGCATCTTTCCTTTTACAAATACTGAGAATTGTTTGTATAATTTAAAAAATAAAAATATGTTGAAAACAACCGCTGAATTGTTACAAATGAAAACAACATGCAAATAAATACTTTAGTGCCCATTTTGAAAATTGCTGGGTTTGAATTGTGCAAGTTTGATATATTTGGAGATGAATATGGTCTAATTTTGTTGAGCTCTGACCAGTCTTTGATGCGTGTCCCAGGTGAATTCCAGTTTATGACTGAGAGATTCATATTAAAAAGTCAAAGTGACAAAGTAAGAAGAATGATCATTTTTCATGAAGTCTGCTAATGCTTTGCTCTGGAGAGTAATATATCAAATTATCCCAAATGAATATTGTTCAACCTGTGGTATTCAATAGAAATTATCTGCCGCTCCTGTAAACACTTTGCTTTATCTAAAATTTATGAGAAAACTAAGGCAAATTAAAACAAGAGGGCAGTAACATGACAAGTTCTTAAGCTTTTTTATCTATTTTGGAGTCATGTTTCTCACAAATGAGAAAAAATAATTTTCTTTTGAATGCTTTATTGCAGGCACAGTGCTAAAGATTTGTAATTTTTATCCCTCTTACTCTGTTTTTTTTTAATGCCGACTTCTGAAATCATATGATTATGCATACATTTCTATTAATTTAAGAGGACATTCCTAGCAGTTAAGAGCCTGTAAATGCAAACTGTGAAGGAACAACGTGAAAAGTCAAATAGAAAGCACTCAAGCTTCTGATTTTTTTTTAAACTCAGATAGTTTTGTGAAGTAACACTCATGAATCTTAGTTTTTTGGTTGCCAAACTGATAATCACCAGCAGCTGCATAAAACATGGTAGTTGGCTGCTGGAAAGCCCCTAAGAAAAGTAATGTCCACTGTTCAGCCACCTGACTTCCATCCTGAAATGTAGTGATCCAAATAGTGTAAAGAGACGGAACAGATATATAGTATCTACCAGCCCTGACTGATTCCCTGTTGAGTGTTACAGCAGACACTATTATACTCTTTGATGGATCACAGCATCACAAAACCACAGAGTGGTAGGGGTTGGAGAGGACCTCTGAATATCATCTAGTCCAATCCCTGCTAGAGCAGGATCACCTGGAGAACTGGCTCAATAAAAATACCAGGTTATTGATTACTTCACACAGCGACCAGCAGCTATCAGTGCAGATCTGGAGAGATTTGTTCAGGGCGCATGCTGTTCAATGCAGACATTCAGTAATGGGCACTGGGCAGTGAAGTGACAAAGTTTTTTTTATGGTATTTTGTTATTCAGGATAACAGAAGCTTTCTGACAAGAAAGATTTACAAGAAGGTTCTTACAAGATTTAGTGACCAGTCAATAAAATAATAAATGACACATAACATAGAAATCTGAAGGACTTTGAGTAAGATCCTGGAATGAAGATAGATATCTCAATGAAAACATACTTGATGGTTGTTTTAACTGTCAAAGGAAACAAAATGTTAAGCATTATTTAGGAAAGGAATGGAGCATATAACTTTGTACATCGTCCACGGTTCTTCATAAATACAAAAATACGTGTTTCTTCCTGCTTTAATACTACTTAGTTCTTGTCTTCACTGAAATATAGTTAAAAGGGAATAAGTCAGAGAGGGCTAACTCTGGACAGTAAAGGTACTTATGGCTTCAAAGGGAGAATGGATAAATTCACAAAAGAGAAGCGTTAACATAAATGTATAAAATAAAAGTATGGTCACTAACATACTACAAAATTCTCTGAATTTTATTTTTCTTTTGAGGAGGGAAAAATTCATGGAAAATTTAACTCAAAGAAGAAGAAAGTAGTTTTGGCAAAATAACTTTTTAACTAGAATTGAGGTGGAGATTATGATGACATAGTTCTAATGATTCTCTAAAATATTTTGTCCCTTGTAGTCTTTTAAATGCCTTGTTCTGTCAAAATGTTACCAGGTAAATACAATGGTGGTATTTTTCTATTTCAAATATGGGCTCAATTATAGATGACTGTTGGGATACACGTATTTGAGCATGACAAGTGAAATGTTTCTCTATTGCAAAATAAAGTACATATTTAAACAATATTCTTGACATTAAATTATATAATACTTTTCAACTTCCCAGGTCCCTAGACTCAGATGGCAAGCCATAGTTGGAGACGTCTTATTACAGGAAAAACAAGTCCAGTAAATTATATGATTCAGTAAGAAATACTGGGGAAAATACTACTTCTGGATTTTCTCCCCAATGATTTCCGTGTCTTAAATTATATCTTAAATAGTTAGGAAAATGTGTTAAATATTAACTTCAATGTTGTAAAAGTGATTACTAGATACATATTTTTCTCTGTAGGAGAGCTGTCAGTGTGTTCTTATTTGAAATTGAACATTTCTTGCTGGCAAACCTAATGTGTGAAATTCTTTCACAGCATTAAGACATATCTGTTTTCCATCTACTTTGTTTTAAAATTACTTTTTTTTTCTCCTGAAAAAAATCCCAGCACTTGTAATCTCAAATCATCACACGTGATCAGCCCCCGTCATCAAATAAAATAATACATACAGCATTCAAATTCATATCATGAGACCTACCTTTTCTGCTAACAATTCTCTGATCTTGCTTGCCTGGAGACGAAATTTCATTAACTGTGACTCCAGAGTCAAACATCTTTCCTTCCAGTTTACAGTACCTTCTGGCTCTGAAAGTTCAGCCATATTTATGCTGGAAAAAGAAAGGGAAAAAATCTCCACATCAAATTGACTCTGTATTTAATGTCTGACTTTTTTTTTTACTATACATACTAATGTACTGTATAAAAATCTCAAGAATGACCCCAAAATTTGTACATGTACAGCTTCATAAAACTTATCAAAAGCACTTTAGTCTCCAAAGGCCCTTATCATAAATGGGAGATTTCTAAAATGTGTGTTGATAATATTTAGATTTATCAGAATTTAATTTCTTCAGTCATTTTGGGGCTGCAATATGTTTTCCATGATAAGGAGAGACACATCACACATTTTAATCTTCAATTACCCTATATATCCTTTCTTACACAGAAGAGGCTTATAGAGAACTGAGCTTTTGCTAAGAAAATGCCTTGTATAGGTGTAACCACCTGTGAGCCTGTGAGTTAGTAGCATATTTGGTTTTATGCAAGTTTAATGTTTGGCAGATAACTCTTTAAAAAATGCTTTTAAATTCTTATGCTTAATCAAATTGCCTTGAAAATTCAATATCCTTAGTGAGATCCAAAGGGAATTTATGGTTCCAAATGTAAAGGTAAGTGAGGTCCCTAATGGGTCCTCCACATGAAAAATAATCCTGGAACATCACGGTCCATGCATGTTTTGGGTTCAAATCTATGCTTCTGTTTACACTTAACTGCTCATGTCTTCTGGAAATGAAGCTCAGTGCCCTTTTGGACAAGCACTGCTGGAAAAATTGTTCAGGATGGGAGCTGGCTCATCATGGTTTCAGTCTGAGAAGCCAAGAAAATAATCTGTGTGTAAGCAGCAGGACTGGGCTCTGCTGTATTCCAACTATTTGTAGACAGCTTAATAGAGAGCAAGTGGATGGCTGAATGCAACCATTCAGCCCAAGAAGTTCCCTTGTGAGCAAAGGCCTTGGCCTCTGAAGGGCTCTGAACACCTAGGTTTGGCTTTGAAAAGAAAGCTTCAGTCCCCCATAATTATTCAATTTATCTGCAAAATAACAAACGGCCATAAAAACACCACTCAGCAGAGGGCAGCTGAAAGACCACAACAAGCAAATAATTTCCAGTCATAAGGTTGTCCTGCATGTCCATCACCTTTGTCACGGACAATGAGGCACTGACAAAGGCAGACAAGTAGCCACCATTTTCAGTGTGATGAAAGGGCCCAGCACATAAAATTCACACATAATATTGATCTCTACACTGCAATTCCTGACTCAGATAGCTTGGATTAGTAAGCGATGTCTTTGAGAGCCCCTTTACTGAAGGGCTGCTCCAGACCTACAGAAGCCTTGGATTAGGAACTCCCCTTCCTCCCACTGTCTGAGGGAGCAGCCCCAGTTCTCCTCCTTCCTCAGGCTCTCACTGGAGGGGAAGGACCTATGGATTTACTTTTCCACTGTTTCTGACAGCAGGAAGAAAAAAAGGAAACGGCAAGGCATCGCAAAAGATATCAAAGTAATGAGTAGGATTCCAAAAGGTACTTTTCTTCATAACATCGAGTAAAACTTTTTAGTTCTCTTCTGAATTTTCAGTGTCTCAGATTATTCTCAAGTTCATCATAGCTAAACAGGTGAAAAAACTCCATTCCAAAACTCTTTCACTTAAAGTACCCTAATTTCCTTGTTCCTTTCATTCAATTTCTCAAATTAGAGGAAGAAAGAGAGGAAAGGAAAACTGACTAAACTCTGTCAGTTTTTGACTACAATCACTTGTCTGAAGGGAACTGCTTTACTCTTTCTCCTTGCAGGCTGTGATTCAAGATGTTAAACACGAGGTCAGAACCATCCCTATTCAGGAATCCCCTACTCAGGGATCCACATGGAATTCCTGGATTTAAGTATGTTGTGAAAATAGGTTCCTGAGCTGATCCTACAACACCCAAATTCTAAACTTCAAGCACACAAGATTTCAACTGCAAACCTTCTGTGTGACTCGTTTCCCCCCCTCACCAGAATACTCCCTGGGCTGTCAGGGAAGCAGGGTGCTCACTGTCCCTAATCCTTGCTCCTCTCTCCTTGTGCGGAGCCCCCACATTCAAGGGGGGAAGTTGGCACTTGCAAGCAGCAGCTTCTCCCACTTCCCAGAGGAAGCAGAAGTTTCAGCTGCAGACCCCTTTGGACAGACAGCCTGGATTCTGCTCTCCTAAAGAACGAGGAATGACAATTTCCTATTAGACTATTTAAGATTTTTTAATAATGTTTTTCCTCCTTGACTAATTACAGCTACATAAGACAGAGATGAACTCAGCCAGCATCTGGTTAACAGTAGGATATTTCAGTGTTTGTGGCAGTGAAAACACAAACGGATCAAGTAGTGAAAGAATTCTTGGTTTTTTGTAGGGGGCAATATTACAGGGTGGAGTTAAAAAATGTTTGCCTTTCAACAGACAAAACATTTGAGTAGATGGATTTCTGGCAGCAAACAACACGTCCAGCCAAGTAGTTTCTCAATGTCCAAGCTAATTAATATTCTGCTGTATAAACATTACAGAGAAAAAGTTTGAAAATAACTCTTTTTATTGTGGTTTGTTTGTTAGAGATTATAATAATTTACTTCATATTTTCCAAGAAGCCAATGGGTTCTGGAAATATTTACAGGCGCATAATACACTGTTTACAATTGTGGAGTGAATGATCTTACTTTGAATCAATGACTTCCTGTTTCTTGTCTGATTCCCCAAGGGAGGAAAAAAATGAGTTCATCCCTCTTGGCTTAATGGAGTACTCTGAATCAGCACTCCAACCTACAGAGTCCTCCCCTTCTTCCTGCTCCAGTTCCCACCGCAAAGCTCTCCCCCAGTCTTTAAAAATAAAACCTTTTGAAAAGTAAACTGAAAAAGCGCACATTAAAGCGGTAAGTTCTAATTATGTCATCAAAAATTAATTGAGACAAGTTTGACAAGTCTGGAAAGACTAAATTTGTCTTTTTCAATTTTTAAGTTTATAAACCTCTTCATAGGCTTCAAGAAGTCAGAATGTCACATTCTCTCCAAAAGGGCTGATATAATTTCCTTTTCTTTGCTGTCTGCTTGGAAATTATCAAAATACGTTTCAGGGGGAAGAAGGGAAACATGTTCTAGCTTTTTGAAGCACGTTAAAAAATTTACATATTCCTTATCGCACTGTCTGTGTTTTCTCCTGTTTTTAACAAAACGCTGTGTTTAACGAAACATTTCATATTCTGTCCATGTGTTCTGCATATCCTTTCTCTGCTGGAGAAAGTTTGACAAGTTCTTCTGTTTCAAGAGGAGTGGGCTTGCACAGTACACGGTGGGTTCTCTACACCATCCTAAGATGTTCACCAACCTAGATACACTTGGACCATATCTCTCGAATTTCAGGCCCCTTTCTTCCACTCTTTTCACTACAACTTGGCACTTTCAAATATTTTTGAAACCATAAAAGTTGGACTGGAGAAAAGAAATGATGAGACACAAAGTGGACCTGTTTGGGAATCAAGGAAGTCATTCTCAGGTTTGTTGCAGGCCAGGGCCCTCACCCATGTCGAAACACTGGTAACTTTATTTTCCATTTGACTCATTTTGCATAATTCTGTGCTCAAACTGTAGCCTAAGCTATTTAAAACCTGTTTCAAAATCTGACTTATAAACTGTTTTTCTGCTGCTTCCTAGATATCGATGAGGTTTTTCTCACGAAGCAGCATGTCAGCCAGGGCCCCCTCACTCCAGCACCAGGCACAGACGCCCAATTGCCCTCCTGATTTCAGGGGCCAGGCTGCCCCCTCCCAGCTCATCACTGAGCCACTGCCTCCCTGCTCACCTTCACATGGCACAACCAATGGCTGACCCACAGAGCACTGTCAAATGCGTGCAGCAAACAGCATTAAAGCGTGGAAGATCATTTTACGTCCTTTTGCCAAAGACGGCAATTTTAAAGGTTGCAGTGTGGCATCACACTAGGCACAAATGTTTAATTTTTAACTGAAATTCTGAAAGCTGGAGGTGTAATATTTTAAAAATATCTTAAATTCTGCATGTTTGTTTGGAAGTTGTGTCCTTTTTTTTGGGGGGGTAGTGGGGATACGGCAATGTCACTGCCAACCGGACGGAAGGAGCCTGGACCCAGAGGGACCCAAATGGACCCAAAGCGACCTCAAGCTCGT